GACAGATGTGAATATGTAGTTATGTGCTTGATAGATTATTGCAAACATTCTTCCTTGATGTACTACCATATATGTAGTGAGTGGATGGTTAGAAAGACCAAGATAGCCCAAGCCTGCCGCTATCTCTTTGGGCTTTCCCTTTTGGGCTTCCTCAAGGTTTTTAAAACACGTCTGCTAGGGAGAGGTTTTCATACCTTTATAAAAAATGCTTCGTTCCCCTCTCCAACCGATGTAGAATCTCACAATCCATTCTCCTTTAGGGCTCAACGTCCTCACTGACATTCATTCCGTTCTCCAACCGATGTTGGACCCCCCAAATCCACCCTCTTCAGGACCCAGCGTCCTTGCTGGCACACCGCCTAGGCTTAGCCTCCTTGTTGGCACATCGCCCGATCTGTCTCTAACATTTGTAATATCTCAAGCCCACCGCTAGCAGATATTGTCCTCTTTGAGCTTTCCTTTTCGAGCTTCCCCTCAAAGTTTTTAAAACGTGTATGCTAGAGAGAAGTTTCCACACTGTTATAAAGAATGCTTTGTTCTCCTCCCCAACCGATGTGGGATCTTACATTTCTTTTTCCATATGCATCTTACAGTTGTGCTTGTACCTCAAGGGTTTAGATGATATTGATTTATGTCAATTTGTTTATTCTATTGACCTTTCTTTTATCTCATCATTTTTTATCTGGAGCTTGTTTGATGTCTTTTAATAATTTGCTGATAACAGGGGGTTGTTATTTTTCATGATGTTATTGGTAATGAACATGATGTTAGTGGAGTTCAAATTAAGGTCGAGGGTGTATATATTTGGCCTTTTAGACAGCTTCGGATGGTTGCTAACAGGTAAACTTTCCAGTCACTCATCTTTTGACTGTCATCTTCATATTTTTGGTATGCACTTTTTACAACATTGTGAGGGAGGTTGCTAAATGTCTCCAATTTCACTCTATTCATCATTATTTTACTGCTGGTTTTCTAGTTTATCATAGCGGTGGTTTTTAAAGTTGTTCCACTTTTGTTCTTCTAAAATTTATCGTAATCTTAGTCTCATTTTCTATTTACAGTGGAAAGGGAGGAGACTATGAGCAAGAAGTTGACAGTATCTTATCGAATCCTTATCATTTAGTAAGTCTTTCTCTTGGTCTCATTTTCTACACGAGTCTTTTTTTCTGACGAAACTTCTAAATAACTTCTGAACAGCTTGGAGTTTTCTCCTCCCAGGTGTTCCAAGAATCACCACAAGATAAGATGTGGAAAAGAAGCCACTGTAATTTTCTATGTCTTGGACTTCAACCCACTTTCAGTTATGTGGGTACTGATTTTGTCTTGCCTTATTGCAGCACCAATTTATGAAATGGAGAAGCATTGCAATATCGAAATAGCAGCTCAAATTTCACTTTTATCTTCTGGACAAAATGGTACTTTATGTCTCAGCGTTTGATTTGTGCTTTCTTATATGCTGTCTTCTCCTAATCATGATCTCCTCAAAAGGCATTATTATACTTTTAGTTTTTAATAAGAAAGGCAATATTGTGTGTGGGTAGAGCTATATTTGTTTTGCCCATTATATAAGAACTTGCCAATGGAAAGTATTTATGCAACCTGCCATGGCAAAGTTCTTGTATTTTCGATACGTAACAGGCCAAAGTGGACAATATCTGCTAGCGGTGACTTTGGGTTGTTACAAATGGTATCAGAGGCAGACATCAGACGGTGTGCCAACGAGGACACTGGACTCCCAAGGGGGGTGGATTGTGAGATCCCACATCGGTTGGAGAAGGGAACGAAATATTCTTTATGAGGGTGTGGAAAATTCTCCCTAGTAGATGCGTTTAAAACAGGCTTACGACAATACGTAACGGGCCAAAGCGGACAATATCTGCTAGTAGTGAGCTTGAGTTGTTACAAATGGTATCAGAGCCAGACACCAGGTGGTGTGCCAGCGAGGACGCCGGACTCCCAAGGGGGGTGGATTATGAGATTCCATATAGGTTGGAGAAGGGAACGAAGTATTCCTTATAAGAGTGTAGAAACTTCTCCCTAGTAGACGTGTTTTAAAACCGTGAGGCTGACGGTGATACGTAATGGGCCAAAGCAGACAATATCTGCTAGCGGTGGGCTTGAGCTATTACATGTATGGACGAACACTAGGTTTAATAGAGCATGAAATTAACAGGGACTCCTGCTGTAGTTTCCTTTATTCTTAATCTTTTCCTTCTTTCTTATCTTCTCTTGTTATTCAGTTTTTCACCTTTGGACTTATATATGTCGCAGGAAATGGAGAACGTGACCATTACCATATCGAAGGATTAATGGAGAGTCCTGCAGTAGACGATGATGGAGATTGCTTTTCTCCCTTGGCGTTAAATGCCACTTCTGTCAACATTGAAATCTACTACAACAAAGCAGTGAATTACACCTTAATGGTCACTTTTGTATCCTTTTTATGATTGTTGGATCTTTTCCTTACATTTATACATTGGATATCATGAAAATATATATGTTTTGATCGGATTTCTTAACGAAACTACATTAGGTCTCTTTCCTTCAAGTACTTCTCTTAATCCGGCAAATGGAACATAGCAATACTCAATCTGTAAGAACTTTTACTTGCAGCTCTCATGGATTCTGATATGGTTGATGTTCGGATTTTGATACCGTACTTTTCCATCTATATCGTGCAGGGTGCTGCCAAAGTTTCGATACTAATGCTCGGGCAACAAGCTATTATGGATGCTTATCTATGTCTGCTGCATCTGACAGCAGGAATATTAGTCGGTGAGTTTAAATTAACTTACGATCGGGTAATGGGCTTCTATCTTGTCTGAAGAGTTTCTTTGATAATGTGTCCACCCTACCTGAAACAAAACGTTCTGTAGTCTCTGTTTGTTTTACATTGCCATATCATACACACAGAACTTTATAAGTTGAAGTTGCTACTTAACACTCAGAAGAGAATTTCTCTCTTTTAGATGGTTTTGAGTTATTCAAGCGTAGAGATCATCGTTCCGTTGCGTGTAGTAACCCCTTGTGATTTGGATCATTTCTGGTCGTAGTTTGATTTAGCCTCTGTTATTTGTGTGTAGTTTAACGTTTTATATTAATTATCGTCGGTTTTGTTCCAGTAAACCTTATTAAGTTTACCTTGCTGCTGGCTGTCCTTTTCTCAGAATCGTTATTTAATGCTTTTGCAACTGCTGCATTTTTCAAGTTCGTCGTGTTCTCGATTTTTGAGATGAGATACCTTCTTGCAATATGGAAAGCCAACAGGCCTATGAACAATGGAGAAGGTTGGGAAACGATGAGACGTGAACTTTCGGTTCTATATAGCCGTTTCTGTGAGTATTACATATCAACCAAAGTTTATGCAAGCTTACCTGATTGCTGGTTCTGTTTAAATTTTTGGACCTCTTAGTCAATCTCTAATGACTATCTGCAGATGGAATCCTTTTGGGAGGCATGTTTCTTATGTACGAGTTGCATCGTTTTATGAGACCGATTATTTTCCTCATGTACTCCTTTTGGATACCTCAAATAGTCACCAACGTTATTCGCGACTCGAGAAAACCTTTGCATATATACTACATCTTAGGAATAACTATAACTCGGCTCGCCATTCCGTTATATGTCTTCGGCTGCCCCCACAATTTCATGCGTATTCAGCCTGATAAAACTTGGTGCATCTGTTTGGGCGTTTTTACTTTTCTCCAAGTTGCCATTCTTCTTCTTCAGCACTATTTCGGATCCCGGTGGTTCATCCCTCGTCAGGTTAGGATCGACGAATATTTTGTAGCTATCATGCCGTGTTCATGGTGTATAATTATTTATCATTGGTTTTGCACGATTTCGTCGCAGATTCTACCCGAGAAATACAGCTACTACCGGAGGGTAGATCAAAATGGGAATCATACCACAGATTGTGTCATTTGCATGACTGCCATAGATGTTTCTCGTCCTAACGACTGCATGGTATGCTTTTTCCTGCTCGGTTTTTCGTCGTACAATATATGATGATGAATTCTTACTGGGTGCCTCATATTATATAGATTACTCCATGTGACCATTTCTTCCATTCTGGTTGCTTACAAAGATGGATGGATATAAAGATGGAATGCCCGACATGTCGCCGTTTGCTGCCGCCTGCCTGATCGTAACTAGTCGTCGTCGTATCAACGTTCCTTTACGATCATCCTGCATTTCCTCGCCCCAAAAGTTTTGTTATGCATAATCTTGTTCTCCCTCAGGCTGAGGAACACATGGGCAGAGTTGAAGCAGCAATGTAGAGAGAGTTGCAGAAGAGGATGGGATTCAATGAACACATCCAGTAGCTGATCTGCATTGTTTGTATAATGTATATCTTTTCTGTACATTGACAAAAAAAAAATCTGTAGTTTGGTAGAGAGTAGAATGGCTGAATTTCGTTCTTCCTCCGATGATTCGAGTTGATTGAACTATGCTTAAAGTTTAAAGTTCAAATTGATACAACTCGACAAGTTTAGGGTCGGTCTTCTTGTTTTGACAATGTAGAAGTTGGAGAAAGATTCGGGCCAATAAGATTGTTTGTTATAGCGATGATGAGGAAGAATTTCGAGTTTAGAGTAAGAAATTCAAAAAGAAACTTTATAATGTTGATTTATTAATCAATCTATGAATTTATTTATGTTGGAAAAAGTAATAATTTTATTTAATTTCATAACGTATTTTAATAAGAGTGAGTAGCAAATCTTAAATTAATGTTTTCAAAATAAATAAATATATGTTTTATCTATTAACATTTTAAAAATAAAAATGTAAATAAATGACTCAAGGAATCGAGAATCCATAAAACTAAATTTTTGAAAATAGATCCACTTTTGGAATTTGCAACTAAAATGACCAATTTTCGATTTCGAGAGTAGAAGAGTTTGAACAAAGGGAGGGCATAAATGTATTTTCGCATTTAATTTAATGGGTAAAAAACACTAAATTTCAGAAATGGAAACTAGATCCATTTTTTTGGAATCTTTCCCATCTTCTTCTTCTTCTTCCTTAACAAAAAAAACCTCACTGCTCGAACGCCATAAACGAAATCCTTCTCTATTCGTGAACTTGTCAATGCCTGCACATAAACGTTCTTGGTCAGACAGTCTTGTCGGAGAAGAGCTTAGTGACCAACAATTCAGCCATCAAGATGCCAAGCAATCTCGAACAGAACGACAGCCGAACACTGAAGTAGAAGAAGAAGAGGAGGAGGAGCAAAAGAAACCGAAGGAGGAAGCAGAACGAGCAGAAAAGCAACACAAGCAATTGGAAGAAGGGACTGGAGCGAGAGGTTACGTCACGTCTATTGCATTTCCCTTTGTTCGCTTCGTTGTTCTGGTTCTTGTTCTTTCTTGGTTTTCCGTTTGCTGAAGCTGTTCCATGTTCTTTCAGATTCCGAAGAAAGCGAATCCTCTAGCTCTGAAGAGAAACCGGAGTACTTTCTCCTGAATCCTTCTACTTCCTTTTCTCTGCACGATTGCCATTTCGTTAGTGTTTTATTGGCCTTTCGGAGATGGATTATGGTGGTTTCTTACGACCGTTTTTCTCTCATATTGTGTTCCCTTCATAGACATTGAAAAGAATGCGTGTTTATAGAACTGCTATGCTCTGTTATTCATTTCCATATTTTTCCGTAAAACGGTGCGGTTGACTTAATGTGCGGCAAGTAGCTGCATGTTGGGATCCGGGTCTAGTTAATGCGTGTTGATTGCTCCTGTTTTATGATCTTTCAGGTTTTTGTATCTTGTGATGGGCTGCGAGATTTAGTTAAAGTCTCCGATTTACTATGTAGCTACAGTCCGATCCACTGAGTTCGAATGAGCGCGGTTCCTGTTCCATGACTGACAAGTTTTATGGTGTTTGATATTTTAAGCTATTCTACCCGTGCCATACATAGGCAACTTCACCGGAACTTAGTTCGCATTCGTATTGTTGTTCCCGGAGCCTCTCGTTAACTTTTGTACTGACCTGCTCGACCATCTATTAGAACTTCAGAAGGCACTTTGACTTCCAATCCTGCTAGAACCCCATTATTTGTGATGTATGATCACCTTACTAACGTGGGTGGCTCATACTTCAATTGCATCTGGAGCACAGAAAAAAATTAACATTCGGGTTATTCCAGATGATTCCTATGACCTTCATTTCGTAGACAAATCAGATTTGCATTCTCAAACCTTTTAGCACCAACTTCCGTAGAGGGAAAGAAAATCAGCCTTTGTGCTTGCCAATTCTTTAATTTGGTAAAAGATAGAATGTCAGATGACCTGTAAACGGCTCTAGTTTTGGACAATGAAGTTGTCTGGATGATTTAGAGTAAGAAATGCGTTGAGTGAAAGTTTTCGTGGGGACGTTGGTTATAGGAGGAATTAGTAAAGCTGATACGGTGTTGAAGAGGCTCTCATCCACGTATCTTTCTCCTGCTGCATCCTTCACAAATGCATGACAAATCTTAACTACGCTGCTATAGAAAAAAATTCATCGGGTTTTGGCCTGTTTTTTTCTATAGCCTTCTTTGGTATTAATTCTACTTCACAAAGGCCAATTTTTCCTATCAAAATAAGTGAAGTATGGCTTGAAAGGATTCTTAGAATTTCCAATTTTTACTTTTATGAAATCAGGTACAAGTTCACTATATTACCAGATCTACAGCATATTGGCTAGTGTTTTGCCATTTTTTTGTAGTATTTTGATCATCAACAACGAGTTCTACGCAGAAATCAGGATCAATTTTTTGGTGTGAATTTTTTCCTGACATCTGGAATTTTCTTTGTAACAATCTATATGTGTACTCTCATTCTTATTAGAGTTTGAGGATATTTCTAGATCGATCACTTTCCTTTTCCCCGTCATTGCTGGTAGGTAGACAATATATTTGTCCTTACTAGAGCTTATCAACAATGTAATTATGTAAGTTGTCACAAACTAAGTCTACACTTTGAAGTTCTAATCCTGCATATTTGTGGTGCAGATTTATTTTTGTGGAGCTGTCAGGCATTCGAAAAGATGTTCAGTGCCCAATTTGTCTTGGTATGTTTGCTTTAAATTGCTCAGGTCTGTTTCTGTATGATCTTTTACCTTTGGCACTTACATTATTGGTCTCTCTGTTTTTAATAAAAAAAAAAATAAAGAAGGACAATGGCAACAGAGATAAGAAGTACATGATAATTGACTATTGGGTGGCATATGCTTTATGACAGATTTAGATAAATCAGCATTTGGCTTCTGTTAAGAACTAGATAGTTGTAAATAGTAACCGAAGAACTCCTTTGGCTGTTTTTATTGGATTTTTGAGGTAGACCAATTTGTAACTTTTCTGCCTTTGTTTCATATCAATCTAGTAAAGAAAATAGCAACCTTGTTGACCTTGACAGGGATTATTAAGAAAACGCGAACTGTAATGGAATGCCTGCACCGGTTCTGTAGAGAATGCATTGACAAATCAATGCGGCTTGGGTATATAAATAAGTCCTTGTCGTTTCTATACTATTCTATTTGAACTTTATTTTGGTTTCATCTGCTTGCCTTATTGTTGAGTCTATCATGTTGAACTAGAACAAGTTATATGCCTATTGAGTTCATTTATGTAATTGTGTTCGCAATTCTAGGAACAACGAATGTCCTGCTTGCCGCACACATTGTGCCAGTAGACGTTCTTTGAGAGATGATCCAAATTATGACGCACTGATTGCCGCCCTATATCCAGATATTGATAAATATGAGGAGGAGGTGTTTGTCAATTTTTCCTCCCCTTTTTTATCCCCCCTTTTATCCCCTTTAAAGGAAGCACTTCTTTTCTTAATTTGGTCTCAGGAATTAACATTTCACGAGGAAGAAAGGACTCGTAATAAACAGGTCAGGTTCCTTCTCAGGCTACATATCTTTACACGGAATTTTGAGATGTTATTTTTCATGGATGAGCCTTTTCTAGCTGACTTTATGAACTGCATTACCCTTTTTTTACTGGACAAACATTTGAATTTATGCAAGTACGGAGGAATTAGACAACTGAAGGTCATAATACTGTTTGTTTGCTTTAGACAACAATTTCGATTCTGGTACTAACAAGTAACAAATGTTGCCATGGAATGTCTTATTATCATTTAGTTAAACGTACCTATTACATTGTTATTTTATCAATCCTAAGACAGCCTTCTCAGTAAACGTTGTGAGCACTGATTTTGAAATTATGAGATTCTATCTGTGCATTTCAAATCCAGATACCATTTTTTTCAAGAGGGAAAAATATAGTCTTTTTGTCCAAGCTTGTGTAATTTCATGTCTGTGGTACAGATTCAGGAATCAATTGCGCAGACCTTTCAACGACAATCAGAAGCACTAAGTAAGAAGCGTATGTTGGGCAAGGATATGCCTGGTATGATTCTAACAAGATCACGTCGCAATCATAGGAATGTTCATCTACGGAGACAAAATGGCCGAGGAGATGAACTGTTGGGATATGAAGATAATGAAGATGAAGATGATAATAGTGAGGGCAAGGATTCATCGTCTGCTGATGAGAGATGTGCAAAAGTTAGGCAAAGGAGGAAGAAGAGGCATTCCACTATTCGATCCTTTCAGCCTTCTTCGTCAATAGCCAGTGTTGATTATGGATGCACCGATGGATGTGCTGAAAGTGATTTAGATATGAGAAGAGAAAATCGTACAGTTTCTCCTGGTCTTGTCTTGAACTCAGAAATGCTCGGTTGGGGGCGTGGTGGTGTACGTAGTAACACACGGTATGGTAATGCTGGTGGGTTGAGCAATAAAGGTTCCAGGAGTGGTCGATTAATGAAGTTAGTCAATTACCTGCGAGGCCTTGAAGAAAATAACAATGAGGTATGGAACAATACATTGGCTATTGTTTGTGAAAGAAAGGGCTGGTTTAAGTTTCAACATGGTTTAAAGCATAAAAATAGATTGATGTTTCGATATACAAAATTAACGTACTAATTTGATGAGTTATTTTTTATTTTTTCAAGTACCTACTGTTTGAGTCATTTGACATATGTTACCATGTGTATTTTGATTTATTTTTTTGAAGAGTTACTACGTTGCTAGCCTATAAGTAGCAACTTGTTTCTTCATTTGGAGCTTCATTCAATTGAAGAGTTCTCCTCTCCTCTCTTTTTTTTTCTTTTTTTTTTTTTTTTTTTTTTTTTTTTTTTTTTTTTTTTTTTTTTTTTTTTTTTTTTTTTTTTTTTTTGGTCTTGAGTTGAGAGCGAGAATCCAAGAATTCTGTCATTTTCGAACTGTTCAGGGTTGTTGCTCTACAAGAAGTAGTCGTCGTATCCTATTGAGACAATCATTGCATTCTGCTTGCAACCAGTGCAATACGAATAATTGTCTTCAGGATTACGTTTTGTCAGCGTGTCCCAATTACTAATTAACTTTATCACAAGACAATCACTTCGTTTGTAGTTATTGCAATTTATAATCTTTGTTTTCCATTTGGTTTGCTTCTTGTGTTTGGAAATCATTGTTACATACAGCTTTACGGTTAATGTACACTATAATTGTTCTAGCGAGTGAAGGTGTAATCCCTTCACTAGTGTTACTTAGTTCTTATATACATCAAATTTTCAGCACATTGTCTGTTCTTTAGAGTAGTTCAGTGTTTGTCATACAAAGCCAATCAAGTTCTTCATAATCCTTGGCTTCTCTTTGGACACCTTAACCGCTTGCTGTGTGCCAATGATCCCCGTTCCTCCTGGATCATAATGACCTTCTTCTTATGAAAAATTATTCTTTACTGCAGCTAGATGTCCATATCCTACTTATTTCAGTGGATACAGAAAGCACTCCAAGTTTAAAGCAGCCACATCTCCAATGCCGTCCAAGTTTGACTGTCAAACACTTGCGTGAAGTAAGTGCCGTTCAGTTATTTCTTGATCATGTTTTGCTCAATGATTTCTCCATAGACTGACAACCACCATGCTTTCTCTAATTTCTAATGAACTGAAAACAGTATGTCTCCCGGAAGACACCTCTCCCAGCTGATGATGTTGAATTACTGTCAGTGAGAGATCGTTATGGCACTAGCGATACTCAATCAACCCCAAGTTCGTCAATCTTCAATCCACTCAAGTATGAGCTACAAATTTTGGAAGGCGAAGAAACTTTGGCAGGACTTCAAGCAGATTGCACTTATAGTAGGGAGCACTTGGTGAGTACATTAATTATCTGATCATTATTGTGAAGTTCATTTGCTGGTTGAATGACTGAATTCATCATCCTTAATATGATTTCAGATTCTTGGATATCGTTGGAAGGGGCGGAGTTAAACAAGTAACTTCTAATACTTATTTTAACTTGTTATTCAATTTTTCATACCTTTTAGTTTTAGCGATAGGAACAGTTTTAGTTATACCTGCTGATACAATATGAGGAAATCTGTAGATATGAATCCTAGAGGGTTTGTTATTACAGCAGCATTACAGTAGCTACATTTTTGAATTCTGGTTGTTGAACGGCATATTGGATGCCATTTTGGTTGAGTGAAATTAATAAACTCTAACTGTTCCTGCACACAAGCCACCCTTTCCTGAGTGTCAAAACACCCTATATCTCCTGTCCTGCTCCTCCCTAAAGACCCCGCCAGGCCCCCACTGAGGATCCCATTAGTCAAAATCCCTTTGATTCAAGCAGCTGAACACACACGACCTTGTTCGTACCGTTTGTAATCCCGTTGCATGGAGATATCCATTGTATCTATTTGGCCTCCTCTTAATTTTAAGAAGTATCCGGTGAGTTCGGCAACTTTCAGATTTTTTTTCTATTTGGTCTCTATGAAGTGCCCAAGAGAGGTCTTTAAACCTCAATTCTGTATCTAGTAGGTCATTGTCCTATTCACCGAGTTTATAATCATTTTAGACATGAAATTTGATTTATATATAAATCAATGTTAAAAATTTTAAAATATGTTAGTAACTTGTTAGACATCAAATTATGACTCACACAAATACTTCTAAATCCATCTTGTAAGGTCTATTAATTTTTTATTTCTCATCTTTTTTTCTTACTTTTTTTCAGTCTCTGAATCTCATTATTTTGTCTCTTAATTTATATTACTTTCTCTAATTCTCTCTTTTATTATTATTATTATTATTTATCTCTTCTTAAATATCATAATTTCAAATAAAAATTTGATTTTTGTCTTTTTTGTCTTTTTTTTTTTTAAAGCATTTTCAAACGTAAATATAAGAAAGTTCATTTGAAAAATAACCCATAAAAAAGAAAGAGTATTTAGAGGTTGAAAACCTCATTGAACTAATAATACTCCCCTTTATTTGAAGTTCTTTCAAGCAAAAAGAGAAATAAATTCAAATTGATTATTAACTAACTTTAAAAAAAAAACTAAAATTTAAGGAATATTATTTATATAAAAAAAACTTAATAATAATTAAAATTTTAATTAACCAAAATTATTTTAATAATTTGAGTTACTAAAAATAAAATAAGTAATTAAAATGATTGGAAGTACTAATCAAACAAAAATATTATTTATTTGTAAAAATCTTGATAAATTATTATGGAATCGAATATTCTATTTATATACAACTTAATTACAAGAGTATTAGTAAATTTTAAAAAATTTAAAAGTATTTTTTTAATAGTTTAAGTATATTAATGAAATTTTTAAAAATTAAAAGTATTTTTTTGAATTAAAAAAAAAAAAATTGTATCGCAATATTCTTCTGTTCGCTTGTACCATTATCTCCCGTTTCTTTTCTGTTCATCGTTCTTCTTCCAAGCTTCACTGTCGACGACGTCTGGTAGATTGGAACCTCCCGATCACTTCTCTCAGTCGCCGAAGCTTTCTCTTCATCTTCTCATTCCCCTACGCTGCATTCCGTAGCGGGTATTTCAAATTTTCCAGAGGCCATGGAAAACGCCTCAAGAAAATGGCGTTTCCAAGTCGATTCGGAACCCAACAAGTCCATCAATCTCTCAATCTATGCAGTTCTCGATATGATTAGGCAGAGCCTCGACAAAAAAGACCAGAGGATAGTTGTTCCCCTTGGCTATGGCGACCCTTCTATTTTTCCTTGCTATCATACTGATGCAGCCGCTGAAGACGCCATAGCCGATGCTGTTCGCTCTGCTAAGTTCAATTCCTACTCTCCCAGTCTTGGCATGCCCGAAGCAAGAAGGTCTCTCTATTTTAACTGTTTCTAAGTTTGATCATCTCTTTCCTCGTTGTTTTTTTATTGTTTGTGTTGGATTGTAGATTGGTGTCGATTAGTTGAATTAATCGACTACGAAACGGTGATTTCAGGGCGGTTGCCGTTCATCTATCTCGTGATCTTCCGTATAGTTTGTCGGCAGATGATGTTTATCTAACAGCTGGGTGTGTACAAGGAATTCAAACCTTATTAACGGCTCTATCTTTCTGTGGCCCAGACGCCAATGTGTTGCTTCCAAGGCCTGGGTTCCCAATCTATGAGATGCGAGCTGATTTCGCTCATATTGAAACTCGCCATTTCAATCTTCTGCCTGAAAAGAATTGGGAAGTCGACCTCGATGTTGTTGAAGCTCTAGCAGATGAGAGAACTGTTGCGTTGGTCATCATCAATCCAGGAAATCCATGCGGGAGCGTGTACTCTAGAGAACATCTGCAGAAGGTTAGTCTATCCATTTTCTGCCAGATAATTTGATCAAAGAATAAAATAAGGAGTGAAGTTCTTGTGGTTTGTTTCCTTTTAGATTGCAGAAACAGCTAGTAAACTTGGGATTATGGTAATCTCTGATGAAGTTTATGCCAATCTCACTTTTGGCTGTAACCCATTTGTCCCAATGGGAGCATTTTCATCAATTGCACCTGTTGTTACTCTCGGATCAATATCTAAGAAATGGGTTGTGCCTGGATGGCGATTTGGTTGGATTGTTCTTAATGACCCACATGGGATTCTTCATCAATCTAGGGTCTGATCTCGTTCTTTATCATATTTCTTCATGAGAAAGAATCATAATCTTGTTGTTGCCTGTTTTCATCTGTTTTTTTCGGCCTTATAATTTGCTTAGATTGTTGAGCGCATCAAGAGCTATATCACTTTCACAATGGTTCCTGCAACATTCATTCAGGTTTGTTACAAGCAATTGAGACGTCAACAAAAACTCCCTTGGTTTGTAATCTGTTATGTGCGTTTTTCAGGCAGCCATTCCTCAAATTTTAGAGACAACGAAGGATGATTTCTTCTTCAGAATAAACAACATGCTGAGAGAGGCTGTAGATACATGTTATGAGGGAGTTCAGGAAATCCCCTGCATCAGTTGTCCCAAAAAACCAGAAGGCTCCATGTTTATGATAGTAAGACCAAAACCAACATTATTTCTCAACATGTCTTCCATGTCTTTTATGATCAACCACCACATATAGTTCCAACTATTGGAAGTCTTCATGTGTTCGTGTTCGTGTTCATGTTCATGTTCATGTGTTCGTGTTCAATTTTGTATGCGTATTTCTAGCATCTTTGTTAACTGATCTAAGTGTTATTTGGAATCACGAATCTCCATAATGGTATGATATTGTTCACTTTGAGCATAAGATCTCATGGCTTTACTTTTGGTTTCTCCAAAACGCCTCATATCAATGGAGATAGTATTCCTTGCTTATAAATCCATGATTTTCCTCTTACTTAGCCAACGTGGGACTATTTCTCTCAATGATCCTCGACACTAAGAACTTTACAGTTTAACAAAACAATTCCATTTCCGCTTTTGCTTGCAGGTGAAACTTGATCTGTCTCTTCTGGAAGGCATTGAAGATGATTGTGAGTTCTGTGTTCAGTTGGCTAAAGAGGAATCTGTCATTATTCTTCCTGGTAAGGCTCTACAACCAAACTTCTTCAGTTTTGTTGCAGAAACTTAAGCAAGCATCAGTTTAACTATAAGGCCTTTATATTATAAATCCAGGCGCTGCGGTTGGGTTGAAGAACTGGTTACGAATATCTTTTGCAATTGATATCGAAGCACTTAAAGAAGGCATTCGGAGGCTCAAAGCCTTCTGCCAAAGGCATGTTAGAGGCACTCAAGCTTGATTCAATCACATATGATTTGAAATAATACCCAAAACAGAGATGATAGGTTGGTAAATTCTCTAGTAGTACTTACTGTTCTAAAGTTTTTTTCAGCGTTGGTTAATATATTAAATAGGCCCATTTGAACCACTTCTTAAGATACAATGGTCAACCAAAAGGCCAGAGATTCAAATCTCTACTCTTTCCAGGTATAAACATAGATTAGTGGTTTAGACACTCCTAATTCTTCGTTTGACTTTATAGGTTTGAGTTTCGTTCTTTATTTGCGATGAAAATATATGAAAAAATGGTAGGAAAAATTGATCTAATACGATTCTTAAACTTTCAATTTTGCGTGTTAGATCTCGATTCCATCTAAGCTTTTTTATCATATTTAACGTATTAATGGTAAAGTTAACTTTCTTTTTCTTAAATAATTGCATAATTAATGGTATGTACTATTTGATGGATATGAACATAGATTAGAGGTTTGGACACTCTTAACACTTCTCTGACTTTGTAGGTTCGAGTTTGGTTCTTTATTTGTGATAATAAGTTATATCTGGTAAGATTCCACATAAGCTTTTTACCGTATTTAAGACCATAATTGTTAAGCTAACCTTATAATTAATGATGCTCACTAAATTTTGTATAATACTCCCCTCTAGTGGGGAGTGCTCCTATTTGACTTGGAGGCGACATAAACCAATCTATCAATAAGATGAGTCTTTAACTCAAATCTCGTGTTCATTTTTCGCTTAATTTTGTAGTTTTGTTGGACCTTAAGCGATGTTTGTTTTCGCGAACCAAACATCGCTTAGGTGGAATCCAAGCTTGTTTGACCATACATGCCGCTTGTGTGTGCATGTTCAATCGTCTGCAACACAATCAACCTACTTCTACACTAGACCAAGTCATTTGACTCAACTTTCCCTCTTTTTGGGGTCAAAGTCTCTCGATGCAACGTTGCATCTTATCTTATCAAGTTGGTTCCCAATCAACATGACCTATATCTTGATGTCATTCTAAGTCAAGGGTGTCGTCGGCCATCACAGCTCACTTGGTCATGTCATCGAGAAAGGGCCCACTTGTAGTTCAAATCTCCTGCCTCGAAATATTTTATACAAAGACAAAAGGAAAAAGACACATGGAGACGGTTTTATTTTGTTTAAAAAAAAAAAAGAGAGAAATTTCATTCATTAGGGATAATATGAGGATTAAATTAAAAGGAAATATGATCTGATTGGAATTCTTAAATTCTCAGCCGTTGGATTAAGAATTCCAATCAGATCATATTTGACGCTTAATAACTTCTCCACCGTTCCCACACTTTTCTTGGCCCGATTGAAAAGCCCCTTGCAGCTGTCACAATGCATTTTTTGTAATCTTGTCTCATCTCCGGCCCCACCATCCACCGGTTCCGTCGTCGTCTCCGCCTTCATTCCTATAAATTCGTATAGATTCCTTCCGAGAGAGGAAGAGATAAGAGAGGGATGGAGATGAACGGAGAGCGGTGGAACATCGAGGGGAAGGAGGAGATGAATAAATCGTCGGTGACAGTCCGCGGTAGTCTGAATCAGATCTCTAGGTATCTGAATAGTGAGGATGATCGTCCGGTGATTGGTTTTGGACATGCCGATCCTTCTGGCTTCCCCAGCTTTCGGACTTCTTCTGCCATTGTTGAAGCCCTAGTTGACGCTGTTCGATCCTGGAAGTTCAACTCATATCCTTCCGCGCAGGGCCTTCTTCCCGCCAGGAGGTAACTCATTCTTTCATTCTCCTTTTTACTTGTTATTACCATCCCTTCTGCTTCTCTGTTTCTGTTTTCTCTGTAATTTCTTTCCCATTCTAACAACTTTAGAGGTGTCCCTCTCTAAACCATTACCAGTGTTCATTAGAACATAACAAACTCTAACAAACTTAACCAGTAAAACTTGGATTGGCTTTCCTCTTTTTTTTTTTTTTTTTTTTTTTTTTTTTTTTTTTTTTTTTTTTTTTTTTTTTTTTTTTTTTTTAATTATTATTATTCTTTTTTCATTTGAGTTGAAAATCGAAAATTATTTCCCACACGTGGGTTCACACACTTCAATTTTTTAAAAAATATTTTATTATTATTATTATTATTTTTTAACTATTAACGTCCCACTCTATCATATTTGAATTTATTAGATTTTGTTATTTCGACTCTATCACGTATTTTTCTTTAAATAATTTAAACAAATAATTTGATAATTCAATCCAATTCAAAAGATTGGATTAGATTGAATTGTGAACTCTATTCATGTTATTCAGGTCATTAACTCAATCAACTAAAAATTTCAAAAGATTTTTTTAATCCAATCCATTTATACGTCTAAACCCCACCCTCCATTTCAATTTTCATTTTTCAAAAATTCTTTTTAAAAATATATTTTTAATAGTTATTTTTTTATTTTTTAATAAATTTTATTAAAAAAATTTAACCATCTTAGTAAATAAATAAAAAAAGATAATATAATACCAGACTTAATTTCTAAAAATTCAAATTTCAATATTATAATATAGTTTTCATCCATATGCAAATATATATATATATAAAATAAAGTAATTTTATATTTTAATTTTAGTATATATTAAACGGAAGAGAATATAATATTTTCTCTATTATATTCTCTAGCTTTTTCGTTAACTAGAGAAATCTCTTCCGTTGATTGTCAACGGATAAATGTTGAGAGCAAAAAAGAATTAATGGTCCTAGATTGAAGTGTTAATTTTATGAATGATTCGTGTCCTCTGAAACTTGAGTTCAACTTTAAGTTCGATTTCATTAAAATATTGTTCGTTACTCGACACATCTATTTTTTATTTTAGTCACGTGGCGTGAATAAGCCATGCTCGATTAGATACTCATAAAGATTCTTCAACCACTTGGGGCTGCCTGCATGCAGTCCTATCGGTATCGTAAACAACAACAAAATGGACCTTAATTTCATCTTAAACAGAGAACAGTAGAAAGAAAACGTGTAAAAATTTGAAATGGGCCTTTCACGAAATCATGAATAAATCATCTTTATAATATGCATGGCTTGCAGAACCAGCACGCGTCGAGAGGTCTATTCCATTAACGTTGCAGACAAAGTTCATATCTTTGTCAATGGATTCAGACCTATGGGAATGATTTCTGATAATCTAGACTATTATGTTAGGGAGGGGTGTGCTTATGTTGGCTAATTAAGAAGTTGATCGTGGATTTATAGGTAAGGAATACGTAAGACCTTATGGGAAAATTAAAAGTAAAGCCACGAGAGTTTATGCTCAAAGCCGACAATATCAAACCATTGTGGAGAGTCATAATTTCTAACATGGTATCAGAGTCATGTCGTAACTTAGCTGTGTCAATAGAATCCTCAAATATCGAACAAAAGGTGTACTTTGTTTGAGGGGCTCCAAAGAAAAAGAGTCGAGGAGACTGATCGAGGGCTCCATAGGCCTCAGGGGAGGCTCTATGGTGTACTTTGTTCAAAGGGAGGATTGTTGGGAGGGGTGTCCTTCATCGACTAATTAAGGGGTTGATCATGAGTTTATAAGTAAAGAGTAAATCTCCATTGGTATGAGGCTAAAAGTAAAATTATGAGAGTTTATACTCAAATAATATTATACTATTGTGGTGAATCGTAATTTCTAAGTCGAGATCAAGTTTTGTATTTCGAATTGAAGGGCTTTGTTTATGGCAAGGGTTGAACATGATATGTTTTGAAGAACAGGGCACTGGCAGAGTATTACTCCAAGAGTCTGCCATATCAGTTATCCTCTGATGAAGTATTTGTCACTGCCGGTTGCTTACAAGCCATTGAAATCATAATATCTGTACTAACTCGCCCTGGTGCCAACATCCTGATTCCTAGACCAGCATTCCCACATTATGAAACGAGAGCAATTTTTGGAGGCCTTGAAGTTCGCAATTTTAATCTCATACCACAAAACAACTGGGAGGTTGACCTTGAAGCTGTACAAGCTCTAGCAGACAACAACACTGTCGCCATAGTTATCATCAATCCCAACAACCCTTGCGGCAGTGTCTACACATCCCAGCATCTCAAAGAGGTAAATAATAGCTTATAACCAATGTTGATTCAGATTCTCCGTAGTTCCTTCAAAGCTTGTTCTTGTGGTTGTTGAATTTAGATTGCAGAAACAGCAAGGAAACTTGGGATTTTTGTGATCTCTGATGAAGTTTATGCACACATGGTGTTTGGGAAGAAGCCCTTTGTGCCGATGGGCGAGTTTGGATCCATTGCGCCGGTGCTAACCCTTGGATCTCTATCGAAGAAATGGTCTGTTCCTGGTTGGAGATTGGGCTGGATTTTAACTACTGATCCTAATGGCATCCTGAAAAAACATGGGGTTTGTTCAAATTCTTTCTTTCTTTTTTTTTTTTTTGTTAGACTAGGAGCTTGCTTATTTATAGTTTAGTAAATACATGGTAATAATAAAAAGCTATATCTAGTTATATATAGTAGATGACTATATGTGTGTAAGAATCTCACATTGGTTGGGGAGGAGAACGAAACACCATTTATAAGGGTGTGGAAATCTTTTCCTAAGAGTGTGGAAATCTTTTCCTAGCAGACGCGTTTTAAATTTTTGAGGAAAAGCCCAAAGAGGACAATAATAATATCTGCTAGCGGTGAGCTTGAGCCATTACAAATGGTATCAAAGCTAAACATGGGGTGATGTGCCAACAAGGAGGCTCTTCCCCGAAGGAGATAGACACAAGGTAGTGTGCCAACAAGGACTCTGGGCCCTAAAGGGGGTGGATGGTGAGAATCCCACATTGGTTGGCCAGGAATGTTCATCTCCGCCTGCATTTTTTACTTGTGTTCATCTAGATCGAGTATGCATGATTGTGGGATCCTAACACTTTTTTCCCTTCGTCATTCTTGGATATCACACATATCTTGTTGTTAGCAGATTCTGGAGAGCATCGAGAACTATAAGGAAATTATCCCCCCTCCCGCAACCTGCATCCAGGTGCTCTACGAATGGAGGACTATATATATTAGAACCTTGACATTATAACTAACAATCCACGGTCTTGTTCATTGTTGTAATCAGGGAGCAGTTCCACAAATTCTAGCGAAAAACAGCGATGAATTTGTTTCAGGTCTTCTTGATTCACTGAAAACAAATGCAGATATTTTATATGAAAAGATCAACGAGATCCCTTGTTTCACTTGCCCAAACAAACCAGAAGGATCAATGCTTGCAATGGTACCACCATTAAAGAACATACAAGAACAGGGCTGTGTCTCATTTTCTTTAATGTTCAAATTTTCATTCGAAACAGGTGAAGCTGAATCTAGAACAACTTAAAGGGATCGGAGACGACGTAGAGTTCTGCAGCAAGGTGGCTAGGGAAGAATCTGTGGTGATTCTCCCAGGTAATCGACGAATTAATACCCATCGCTAATGTTAAGGATATTTAGTCCTGAAGTATAGTTTACCATATATATCATATTTAATGTTTTATTATAATCATAGGTATCGTGTTTGCCTTTATTATATACAAATGAGATGGTTTTAGTAAATATTCTCAGCTAACTTGAATTTGAATGGAGTTGAAGCAAGTAATTAAGGACACGAATGGCTACAGGTATTGCCGTTGGGTTGAAGAATTGGCTGCGCTTCAGCTTTGGGATGGAGCGTTGCGCCATTGAAGATGGCATGGCAAGGTTGGAAAGCTTCTACCAAAGGCATAAGCTCCATTAGACACAGAATGGCGTGCCGTACCTCTGTCGAAAGTGTCAGGATAAAAGTCTCATGCTCTCTCAATCGTTACTGAAAATCTCTTGTTTTCAAACTCACATGTTAATTACTGAATGTTTTAGTTTGATAGTTTTTTTTTTTTTTTTTTTTTTTTTTTTTTTTTTTTTTTTTTTTTTTTTTTTTTTTTTTTTTTTTTGTCTTGTTTTAGTTTTCAACAGATTTGTTCATAGAAAATTGTTGTGTCGTGTCACTTTTTTTTAGTTAAATCTCTACTTCTATAATACATAATAATAATGTGATTTATAATTTAATAAATTAATATAAAATAAATTGAATTGTGTCACGTGCATAGGGGGGAGTGTATAAAGTTTTTGATGGAATAATAATGAGGATTAAATTAAATTATAATGAACATTAGAGTGAAATTACCATCATACCCCCATTTCCATTATAATATTCTGGGTCCTCTTCCATTTTTGTCGAAAAAATTATTGAGTATGTTTTTTTTTTTTTTTTTATTTCAGTCTTAAATTATGAACCGTTGGATTTAGATCTCAAAATCTGCATGATTTTTAATAAGTATTAATTTAAATTTCTCCGCCAATTGGTAAATATTTTAATGGATGGAAAAAGTTTGTTGCCGCCGTCACCATGCATTTTGTAATACTCTCTCCGTCACCACCAACCACCGGTTCCGTCTCATTGATTGTTTGCATTCCTACAAATTCCATGGCGGAACTCCATTGCGTCCTGAGATAGAGATAGAGATTGAGATAGAGAGCCATGGAGATGAACGAAAGCCAGCACTGGAACATCCACGGGAACGAGGAGCTCAACAAATCCTCCGTTTCAGTCCGTGGTACTCTTAATCTCATCTCTACTTATCTCAATACTGATGATCATCGTCCGGTTATTGCTTTTGGCCGTGCCGATCCTTCTTCCTACCCTAGCTTTCGGACTTCTTCTTCCATTGTTGAAGCCCTTGTTGATGCTGTTCAATCGCGGAACTTCAACTCTTATCCTTCCACGCAGGGTGTTCTTTCTGCTAGGAGGTAATGTAACTCACTCTCGTCGCTTTTATGTGTGCGAATCAGTATTTCATTTGGCTTTTTAGTTAGTAATTTCTCTGCGGCTTCTGTAGTTGTTGTGATTTTCTGTTTCTGTTTCTGTTTGCTGAAAGATTTCTTTCGGATTCGGCGACGTTTTGCTAAGAAAATGCTGAAAAATGGATCTAAACACCTTGTTTTGTCGACGTAGAAGTGTTGGGAGAAAACTAATACACGCAAGCAACAAAGAAACATAAAGTATTTATTTCCAGACAAGTTTGAGATAGAATAGGAAAACTTCACTGAAAGGGACTATATTCAATTTATGTAACTGTAGGTTCTATTCAAATCTAAAAAAAATTACAGAAAACCTTAAACTTACCTACAAACTAACACTTGAGCGGGTTTCACTTATTAGAATTTTCACGCGTGCATCTGAGAAAGGAGTTGATCCTCCTAGTGTGGAGATTCTTGTAGCAACTCTTTTATCTTTTTGACAGCATCGAGATGCTCTCTCAATGTTTCGACACTGTTCTTTCGAGTCAACTAGCTTTTTTAGCGGTTCTGTTGCCGCATAAATCAACAATAACTTCTTTAGATCTCAAACCCAACCAATACCAAATGATTATGGAACCATAAAAGTAAAACTCGGATTACTTTGTCTACTTCTTTTTTCTCTGTTGGGATTCAAAACATATGACATTTAGATAGGATAAAGCCTCATCAATTTAGCCAAAAAGATACAAAAAAAGACGCCAGGAATTCTAGAACGAACTTGTTAAGCTGCTAACCAAGTGCCTGTAATCTTCCAAGAATAAATTAAGGTTCTGTAAAGTAATTTGAAGTAGACTGAAGTCTTAATTTTGTGACTGACTTGTGTCGGTGAAACTTGAGTTCAACTTAAAAGTTCAATTTCATTAAAATACTTCTCTTAAATTCGACACGACTATTTTTCTTTTGAAGTGGATATTGCATGAACAAGCCAGCTCGATTAGATACTCAGCCAGATTCTTCAACCACTTGGGGCTGCCTGCCTGCAGTCCTATCAGTATCGTAAACAACAACAAAAAGGCCTCAATTTCATCTTAAACAGAGAACAGTAGAAAGAAAACGTGTAAAAATTTGAAATGGCCTTTCCCCGAAATCATGAATAAAGCATCTTTAGGCTAGCAGAACAAGCACGCAAGTGTTGGGTTTGCTTCTATGTTTCCTAGTCTGCGTGCACGCGTCCAGAGCTCTATTCCATCAACGCTGCAGACAAAGTTCATATCTTTGTCAATGGCGGTGGACTCACTTTTAAACATGTCTGAAGTCTATACTCTCGACGCGTGCATTTTTTTTATGGGAATGATTACTGATATCTAAATTCAAATGGACTATTAACCCAATGTTTTAAAAGTCAGTGCTTGGACATCAAGTTTTGTATTCAGAATGGAAGAGCATTGCTTATGACAAGGCTTGAACTTGATATGTTTTTCTTTTCCTAGTGCAGGGCATTGGCCGAGTATTATTCCAGGGGTCTGCCATACCAGTTATCCTCTGATGAAGTATTTATCACTACTGGTTGCACACAAGCCATTGAAGTCATAATATCTGTACTAGCTCGCCCTGGTGCCAACATCCTGCTTCCTAGACCAGCTTACCCGCATTATGAAGCGAGAGCAAACTTTGGACACCTTGAAGTTCGCAATTTTGATCTCATACCAGAAAAGAGCTGGGAGGTTGACCTTGAAGTTGTCAAAGCTCTAGCAGATAACAATACCGTTGCTATAGTTATTATCAATCCCAACAACCCTTGCGGCAGTGTCTACACGTACCAGCATCTGAAAGAGGTAATAGCTTATATGCAATGTTGATTCAGATTATCTGTAGTTCCTTTTAAAGCTTTTTCTTGTGGTTGTTGAATTTAGATTGCAGAAACAGCAAGGAAACTTGGGATTTTTGTGATCTCTGATGAAGTTTATGCACACATGGTGTTTGGGAAGAAGCCCTTTGTGCCGATGGGCGAGTTTGGATCCATTGCGCCGGTGCTAACCCTTGGATCTCTATCGAAGAAATGGTCTGTTCCTGGTTGGAGATTGGGCTGGATTTTAACTACTGATCCTAATGGCATCCTGAAAAAACATGGGGTTTGTTCAAATTCTCTTCTTTTTTCTTTTTTCCTTTTGTTAGTATATCACACATGTTGTAAGTTGTCATGAAATAAAAAAGGTTATGAATTAAATGAGATTTATAGACCAAAATAAATGAGAATATGAACCATCAACAGGTATGTACTAAATGACAGTTAAGACAATATATCTTCACGACAACTTACAACAACACATATCTTTGTTCTTAGCAGATTCTGGAGAGCATTCAGAACTATAAGGACATTGCCCCCGATCCCCCAACCTGCATCCAGGTGCTCTACGAATGGAGGACTAATATATATTTGAACCTTGACATTATAACTAACCATCCATGATCTTGTTCATTGTTCTAATCAGGGAGCAGTTCCACAAATTCTAGCGAAAACCAGCGACGAATTTGTTTCAGGTCTTCTTGATTTACTGAGAACAAATGCAGATATTTTGTATGAAAAGATCAACGAGATCCCTTGTTTTACCTGCCCAAACAAACCAGAAGGATCAATGCTTGCAATGGTACCATCATTAAACAACATACAAGAACAGGGCTGTGTGTCATTTTCTTTAATGTTCAAATTTTCATTTGAAACAGGTGAAGCTGAATCTAGAACAACTTGAAGGCATCACCGACGACGTAGACTTCTGCAGCAAGGTGGCGAAGGAAGAATCTGTGCTCATTCTTCCAGGTAATCAACAAATTAACACCATTGCCAACTTGAATTTAAATAGAGTTGAGGTAAGTAATTAAAGACATGAATGGCTACAGGTGTTGGCGTTGGGATGAAGAATTGGCTGCGCTTCAGCTTTGGGATGGAGCATTGCTCCATTGAAGATGGCGTGGCAAGGTTGGAAAACTTCTACCGAAGGCATAAGCTTCATTAGACTTCAGTTTTAGCAGAAGTTCCCTTCAACGTTTATGAGATGTTTCAGTGACTAAAATAAATCAGACTATTAGAGGAAAAAATAGCAGGACAAAAATTGTGGATGTTTCTTCAAAAAAAAATAATAATAAATAAATAAATAAAATTTAAAAAAAAAAAAAAAACGTAATTTCTTATATTTTTAATATTTTTTGTTTAAATATTAGGTTAAAATTAGATTACACTAATGAATTAATCGCATTCAAAATTATTTTGTTTTGTTATCTATTATGAAAGAATAAAATAAAATTACTTTTATTATACACAAATTATTCTCGTTAAAATTAGTTTATCTAAAATTAATTTCAAATATATTCCTAATCATACCCTCTATGGCCCAAGTTTATAATGTTGTTGATACTCAAAATACATGACAAATCTGGATGGATCGTACTTTTAATAAGTTTCCATATATATTATTTTTATTGGACATTGTTGCTACTATACATTGAATCCAACTCGAGGTGAGTTGTCACATGCGTGGACTTATCTCCTAAACCGGCTCTGACAATCACTCTTTCAACAACGAGACAATAATTGTACAACATCTGTTATAACATGGGGAGCAAATCGAGAGGTATAAAATCAAATCCAATCTCCCCTTTGAAATTTGTGTTGGAAGATCACTCCTTCGATAAGGAGACAATAATTATGCAACATCTGTTATAATATTAGAGTAAGCAAGTTGTACAAAATCATATCTAATCTTTCTCTTTAGAATTTGTGAGATTTATCTCCATGAATGCAATCACTATTTAGGAGTGACAGACCATTGAAGCTATATTTGTAGCCATTACGTCCAGTGTCATCCCCTTGGTCACAAAAAAAGAAAATGATCCGATCGGAGCTGACAGAGGAGCAGTGGAAGTTCAAGGGCAACGAGGAGCTAAACAAGTCGTCCATTTCAGTGCGTGGAACTCTCAGCCTTCTGAGTAAGCATCTCAATGCCGACGACCCTCGCCCCGTCGTCCCTTTCGGCCTTGC